GTGCTCCGTTGGACCCCGTTTCTGGGCCCGTTAGTGGGCTCAATCAGTCGCGCGAGTCGCCTACGGGCTTGATTTGGGGTAACTTCCCCTCTATGGGCTCAGCATCGGTGGTTGGGTTCTTTCTTTTATGTTGCTTAAATTTTTTGCCGGTATTTTATGTGTTTACTTCACCTTTTTACAGCATCAATGGAAATGTCCCATTAATTACAAAAACTATATCAATAAGTGATACATTATACAACCATTCCATTACTCGTTAAAGTAACATAATTTCGTTCATATTTTTTTATGTGTTTACTTCTCCTTTTTACAATATCAATGGAAATATTCCATTAATAACAAAAACCATATCAATAAGTGATACATTCTACAACCATTCCATTACTCGTTGAAGCAACATAATTTCGTTCATATTTAGGATATTTTACATTCAAACGAAATTTTACATGAAAGATTACGGCAGTGGAAAGATTAACACTAAAACAAATCTAACTACTCCTCCTCGCTACTCACAAGATCAACCACTACCGTCTGCCCGCCGTCTTCACCGCCGTCTTCGCCGCCGTCTGAGTCATCGGAACTGCCCAAGTCTCCGAAAAATTCTTCCAAGGTAGAAGACTGTTGCGCTAGTGTATCGGTCGACTCCCTGATCGCCTGCCAGTATCCCGGCTCGTCTGCCGGGTCCCTCGGGTCAACAACATCCTCCGGCGGCATCCAACCGGTCTCTGACGTGGAGTTCCGGATCGCGCGGATCAAACCCGGCGACTCCAACGGGTCGCCCTCCTCTTGCATCGCCGCTAGTTCCGGCGGGATGTGAAACTCAGGGGCGGCCGCTGGAGCGGCGGGAGCGGCCGGCGCGCCTGCGCGAGCGCGCCGACCGGCATGGGCCTGCACAACCGGGGCGGTGGGGGGCACGAGGGGCGCGTTTGGACCGTCCGCGCGGATGCCCCGAGACTTGTAGAAGCTGACGACGGTGTCGAAGTCGCGGCCTACCCAAAAGTTGAGGCGACCTTCGGGGTTCCACGGACCGGGTTGTGCCGGCCCAGGCGTGGCATAGCCGTCGCTCGTCACGTGCCAGCCGTGTGCTAGGCGACACGACGGCGGCACGGGGATGCCGTGCCGGTAGATATCGACGGTCTGCGGCCCGCTAAGGCTAGAGGGCCACAGACCGCCCGGCGCGGCGCCGCGTCCACCACCTCGTCCACCACCGCTGCCGCCGCCTCCGCCGCCGCCAACCGCCCGGCGACTGCTCCCTGCGCCTCCACTGCCGCCTCCCCAGCCGAACCAACGCCGGCCGAAGCATCCGCGTCCACGAGGCATCGCGCCGGAGAGAGCCGCCGCCCCAAAGATCAATCGGAGAACGCGGGGTCGGGGATCGAAGAAAGAGGAGAGGCGGAGTCGGGGGCGGTTTATGTGAGGCTAGCGCGCGGGTCGGGGGCGGATTTATGGGAGGGAGAGCGCGGGTCGGGGGCAGGCGAGGCGGCAGCGCCTCAGCGGGGGCGGCCAACGCGAGGCGAGGCGGCAACGCGGCGCAGGCCGAGGCGGAAGCGAGCGCCGCAGGCCGAGGCGGAAGCGGGGGCGGCCGACGCGAGGCGGAAGTGGGCGCCGCAGGCCGAGGCGGAAGCGGGGGCAGGCCGCAGCGCAGCAATCGGCAGCGGGGCCCGTAACCACGCCATCCATGCATGGATGGATTCCTGTAAGCGCGTAATTAGCGTAGGGGACGTGGGCGTGCGGGGGTGGGCGCGCTGCCGGGGCGACCCGGCCGAAAAAAAAAAACAAAAGCGTATACATATACGTATACATTACTTGCGGGGGCGGCCTTTTTTCGATTTATGCCCATCATGCCCTCCGTTATGAAGGGGTATGGGACAATCTTAGCCGTCCTTGTATTGAAGGGGGTCTACCGAAGCGTAAGTGCCGTCATAGGCCAGGGCACTCAACTTCTCTTTTTCCTCTTTGTGTGAAGCGAAAGCCCCTCGTTTTTTATTAAGAAATTCCCTAGCCTCGCCCAAATCCTTGCCCAGCCATGTTGTCGCGCCGGGCATGGGCAGACCTGCCTCCGGAGCTTGTCTACAACATTGCCGACGGACTTGACGACCTCATGTGCTACGCAATTGTGCGGGGAAGCTGCCCGACATGGCGTTCCGCCTCACGCCGCTGTTGCCGTCGCTGCTCGTGGACCACAGCGATGACCCTGCCAAGTGCTGCATCACCACTGCCATTAAGCATCGTACCAATGTAGCCTCGATCCTCATGCATCGCTCCTTTGGGCTCAAACTCGTCCCTTCAGGCAAGCTCTGCCCCGCCGCATGCCGCTCCTTCAAGCTCACCGCAATCCCCTCGGTTAGGACCTGTCTTGGCTGATCCGGTGGATGGCTGGCCCTCTCTGTCTGCATCGACGGTGGTCATAGTCTGCTTAGCCTCTTCCACCCCGTCATGGCTGCTAAGATCCTCCTGGCCCCGCTGATCTACGACGGCCGCCTCGTCTTCAAGATGGTCTTTGCACCCAGCCCCACCAGTGACGACTTCCTGGCAGCCGTGATATGTGACATCAATAGGCTTGCCTACGTCACCACTAGGGCCAGGATGCGGGTCGTGCTCGACCCCATCCACCTCGCCGAAGGAGACCAGATCGCCGACTTCCTTTACCATAGAAATTGTATGGTCAACTGCCTCACTCAGTTTGGAGATGTCCACGTGCTCCGCCTGCCGCAGCACCGCCGCCGGGAACCTATCATTCTCAAGGGCCACATGTTAGCACATCTTGTAGTGCATAACAAGTGGATCGTCCAGATGCACGGGACAGGACCAGATCTAAACACGTCACCCACTATAGAGACATTGTTGTCATATGTAGGAAGCAACATGCTGTTTGACACCTCCACTGGCTTCGACCCGCCATACAATACAATTTCGAATTTCATTAGTGCTAATAACCTTGTGTTATGCGATGGTAACATATACCAAATCTGGAGGAATGCATCCTGCATGGTTCGTTTGCAGCTGCCAGGACGAGGTCGTTGCCGTGTAGAACATGACGGAATATTTGTTTTGTGGTATGACTCCCAGCGCCGACCATATTGGGACGTTGTGGCCGACTTAAGGGGACACTCAGTGTTTGTTGGGAGGAACAATGCAGTGTCGATATATGCGGAAGGTGTTCCGGGACTCAAGGGTGATTGTGTGTACTGAATCGGTGGGAGAGGTAGTGATGGGGGCATGGTCTATGACCCGAAAACTAGCAGGTCAACACCTTGCATTCCCCTCATGGATGGTGTCATTTTGGGGTCTCTACAAAGCACAATCTGCTGGTACTTTTTAAGCGATGACTGAAAGAAGAGTTTAGCAGACCCGAGCAAGGGCCCATGCTTAATCTGAAAAAAGTGATGCGTCACTAGGGAAGCTTGGCTACATAGTGATCAGGACCACCAACCACATTGGTGGAAGTAATGTTTTACTGTCGGTAATGGGTTTTGTTTGTGTTTTTTGTATACTAGATTCGAAGTTTATTTAATTCATGTGGAATCGTCGGCCTGTCATTTGATTCACTGTTCCCTACATTTGAAGTAAACAAGATAAGTTTAACACAACATTAAACAATTGGATTAAAAACAACCCGTCACATAATATTGATAAACTGGGGTCTGGGTTACTATCACTCCAACAACTAATAATCAACAAACTGATTCCACAATTCCTTCCCCTAGGCCTCAATATGGTGAAGCGTCATGCAATCGACATTCTCATAACACCACTAGAGGAAGCACAACACAAAATATAATAAAAACGTTGAATGAATCTACTTCACATGACTACTATCAATAAGACTTTCCGCATGTCCTCAAGAACTAATGGATAATGATCAAGCATCGTACCACTATAGCCTCGATCCTCACACTTTGCTCCTTCGAGGTCAACCCCATCCCTTCAGGCAAGCTCTGCCCCGCCGCATGCCACACCTTCAAGCTCATCACAATCCCCTCGGTTAGGACATGTCTTGGTTGCCGCGGCGCATGGCTTTCCCTCTCTATCTGCATCGACGATGGTCATAGTCTGCTCAGCCTCTTCCACCCCGTCATGGCCACTGAGATCCTCCTGCCCCCGCTTATCTACGACAGGCGCCTCGTCTCCAAGATGGTCTTTACTCCCAACCCCACCAAAGACGACTTCCTGGCGGCCGTGATATGTGACATCAATGGGTTTGCCAGCGTAACCGCTGGGACCAGGAGGTGGGCCGTCCTCGACCCCATCCGCCTCGATGATGGAGACCAGATCGCCGACCTCCTCTACCACAGAAATGGTATGGTCTACTGCCTCACTCGGTTTAGAGATGTCCGCGTGCTCCACCTACCGCAGCACCGCTGCAGGAACCTATCATCCTCAAGGGCCACACATTAGCACATCCTGTAGTGCATACCAAGCGGATCATCCAGAAATTGTTGTCACCCGTAGTAAGCAACCTACTGTTCGACGCCGCCACCAACTTCGCCCCTCCATATAATACAATCTCGATTTGGAGACGTATCAGTCTCACATTGCAACGATCGAGCGCGTCGGTGTTCACACAATGAGTGTTGGCCGAATTTAAGTGTCCATGCCACCTTAGTGATGTAGGAATAATATTTTAGTTGTTTGTTCGAAGCAAATCTGTGATTTATGAATAACATTAATAGTTTGTACAACTTTCGATCCAAATTAGATGATCTAGATTTGTTAAGATACAAATGTATCCAACACTTAAACGTGTCTCGATACATCCTTATTCAGTATAATATCAGCCAGCTAATGCGGGACCGACGGAGTATATGTTTATTTTCAAGCAATCACGGCTTACCAAAAACAACAAAAAATAGTAAGAAATCACGATTTACCAAGGAAAAACATTTGAGTGTTATATGTAATTTCTAGAAGCGTTAAATAAATTCTATATTTATTTGGCGGAAGGAAATCACGTCTTCTATAAGCATTAGTTAAATAATATATACAACTGTTACCGCAATTTCTGCAAGTAATTTTCTGCATGCACGTTTCCGTGGCTCAGTCAGACGCTTTAAAAGATTTCCATCATAGGCCAGGGCACTCAGCTTCTCTGGTTCTTTCTATATTTCTTTCTTTGTGTGAGAGAAATCACGTCGTTTTTCATTAAGAAATTCCCCAACCTCAACAATATGCTTCCCCGACCATGTTATCGTGCCGGGCCTTGGCAGATTTGCGCCGGAGCTTGTCTGCCGCATCGCCGACGAACTTGACGACCTCAAGTGCTACGCGAGTGTGCAGAGAACTTGCCAGATATGGCGTTCCACACTCACGCCACCTTCGCCTTCGCTGCTCGTGGACCACAGCGATGATCCCGCCAAGCGCTGCATCACCACGCCGTCAATCGTTGTACCACTGTAGCCTCGATCCTCAAGCTTCACTCCCTTGGGCTCAACCCCATCCCTTCAGGCAAGCTCGGCCCTGCCGCATTCCCCTCCTTCAAGCTTACCACAATCCGCTCGGCTAGGATCTGTCTTGGTTGCTGCGGCGGATGGCTTTCCCTCTTTTTCTGCGTCGAAGATGGTTATAGTCTGCTCAGCCTCTTCCACCCCGTCATGGCCACTGAGATACTCCTGCCCCGGCTTATCTACGACAGGTGTCTTGTCTCGAAGATGGTTTTTACACCCAACCCCACAACGAATGACTTCTTGGCCGCTGTGATATGTGACATCAATGGGTTTGCCTGCATCACCGCCGGGGCCAGGAGGTGGGACGTCCTTGACCCCATCCGCCTCGACGATGGGGACCAGATCGCCGACCTCCTCTATCACAGAAATGGTATGGTCTACTATCTCACTCGGTTTAGAGATGTCCACGTGCCCCACCTACCGCATCACCGCTGCAGGAACCTATCATCCTCGAGGGTCACACATTAGCATATCCTGTAGTGCATAACAAGCGGATCATCCAGATGCACGGGACAGGACCAAATCTAAATGCACTAGCCACTATAGAGACATTGTTGTCATCTGTAGGAAGAAACCTATTGTTCGACGCCGCCACCAGCTTCGCCACGCCATATAATACAATCTCGATTTGGAGACATATCAGTCTCACATTGCAACGATCGAGCGCGTCGGTGTTCACACAACGAGCGTTGGCCGAATTTAAGTGTCCGTGCCACTTTAGCAATATAGGAATAATATTTTAGTTGTTTGTTGGAAGCAAATCTATGATTTCTGAACAACATTAATATTTTGTACAACCTTTGATCCAAATCAGTTGATCTAGATTTGTTAAGATACAAATGTATCCAACAGTTAAACATGTCTCGATACATCCTTATTTAGTATAATCTGAGCCAGGTAACGTGGGACCGATGTAGTATATGTTTATTTTCAAGCAATCACGGCTTACCAAAAACAACTAAAAAGAGTAAGAAATAACGATTTACCAACGAAAAACATTTGAGTATTATACATAATTTCGAGAAGCATTAATTAAATTCTATATTGATTTGGCTGAAGGAAATCACGTCTTCTGGAAGCATTAATTAAATTATATATACAGCTGTTACCGTAATTTCTGCAAGTAATTTTCTGCATGCACGTTTCCATGGCCCAGTCAGACGCTTTAAAAGATTTCCATCATAGGCCAGGGCACTCAGCTTCTCTGTTTCTTTCTGTCTTTCTTTATTTGTGTGAGCGAAAGCACCTCGTTTTTCATTAAGAAATTCCCCAACCTCGACAATATGCTTGCCCCTCCATGTTGTCGTGTCGGCCCTTGGCAGATCTTCCGCCGGAGCTTGTGTGCTGCATCGCCGATGGACTTGACGACCTCAAGTGCTACGCGAGTGCGCACGGAACTTGCCCGATATGGCGTTCCACACTCACGCCGCCGTCACCGTCGCTGCTCCTGGACCACAACGACGATCCAGCGAAGCGCTGCATCACCACCGCCATCAAGCATCATACCGATGTAGCCTCGATCCTCACGCTTAGCTCCTCTGAGCTCAACAACATCCCTTCAGGCATGCTCTGCCCCACCGCATGCTGCTCCTTCAAGCTCACCACAATCCCCTCAGTTAGGACATGTCTTGGCTGCTCCGGCGGATGGCTGGCCCTCTCTGTCTGCATCAACGGTGGTCATAGTCTGCTTAGCCTCTTCCACCCCATCATGGCCGCTAAGATCCTCCTGGCCTCGCTGATCTACGACGGCCGCCTCGTCTCCAAGATGGTCTTTGAACCCAGCCCCACCAGTGACGACTTCCTGGCCGCCATGATATGTGACGTCAATAGGCTAGCCTACATCACCACTAGGGCCAGGATGCGGGTCATCCTCGACCACATCCGCCTTGCCGAAGGAGACCAGATCGCCAACTTGCTTTACCATAGAAATTGTATGGTTAATTGCATCACTCGGTTTGGAGATGTCCACGTGCTCCGCCTGCCGCAGCACCACCGCCGGGAACCTATCATCCTCGAGGGCCACACATTAGCACATCTTGTAGTGCATGGATCGTCCAGATGCACGGGACATGACCAGATCTAAACACGTCACCCACTATAGAAACATTGTTGTCATCTGTAGGAAGCAACCTACTATTTGACACCTCCACCAGCTTCGACCCGTCATCCAATACAATCTCGAATTTCATTAGTGCTAATAACCTTGTGTCATGCGATGGTAACATATACCAAATCTAGAGGAATGCAGCCCGCATGGTTCGTTTGCAGCTGCCAGGACGGGGTCGTTGCCGTGTAGAACATGACGAAATATTTGTTCTGAGGTATGACTCCCAGCGCCGACCATGTTGGGACGTTTTGGCCGACTTAAGGGGACACTCAGTGTTTGTTGGGAGGAACAATGCAATGTCGATATATGCGGAAGATGTTCCAGGACTCAAGGGTGATTGTGTGTACTGAATCGGTGGGAGAGGTAGTGATGGGGGCATGGTCTATGACCCGAAAACTGGCAGGTCAACACCTTGCATTCCCCTCATGGATGATGTCATTTCGGGGTCTCCACAAAGCACAATCGGCTGGTACTTTCTAAGTGATGACTGAAAGAAGAGTTTACCAGACCCGAGCAAGGGCCCATGCTTAATCTGGAAAAAAGTGATGCGTCACTAGGGAAGCTTGGCGAGATAGTGATAAGGACCACCAACCACATTCATGGAAGTAATGCTTTACTGTCGGTAATGGGTTTTGTTCATGTTTTTTGTATACTACATTTGAAGTTTATTTAATTCATGTGGAATCGTCGGCCTTTCATTTGATTCACTGTTCCCTACATTTGAAGTAAACAAGATAAGTTTAACAGAACATTAAACAATTGGATAAAAAACAACTCGTCACATAATATTGATAAGCTGGGGTTTGGGTTACTATCTCTGCAGCAACTAGTAATCAACAAACCAATTCCAAAATTCCTTCCCCTAGGGCTCAATATGGTGAAGCGTCATGCAATCAACAGTCTCATAACACCACTAGAGGAAGAACAACACACAATATAATCAAAACATTGAATGGTAATCTACTTCACATGACTACTATCAATAAGACTTTCCGCATGTCCTCAAGAACTAATGGATCATTTCACAAGACATCATATGGATAATGATCAGTAGGTATGAATATATGAAGAACAATATGAACATAACAATTTTCCACAAATAATTCTCCTATGCATCAACTACAAACGTGTAATCAACACATAAAATACTCATAGGTACCAATATGAACTTTGATACAAAGATTGAGCAAGAGGGATGATCTAGGGTTTGAAGATGAGATGGTGCTTGTGAAGATATTGATAGAGAAGATGATCCTTATGATGAATTGAGTGTTGGTGGTCCCGATGATGAACATGATAGTTTCTCTGGTAGAGTCTCTCCTCCATGCTCACTGTCAGCCTCCTTATCCACACGAGCGTTGGCCAAAAATTAAGTGTCCATGCCACTTTAGTGTTATATGAAAAATATTTTAGTTGTTTGTTGGAAGCAAATATGGTGATTTTTGAACAACATTAATATTCTGTATAACCTTCGCTACAAATTAGCAAAATCTGAGCCAGCTAACGCGGGATCGAAAGAGTTTACTATGTCTATTTTTTAAGCAATCACGACATACCAAAAACAAAAAAAGAGAGTAAGAAATCACGATTTACCAAGGAAAAACATTTGAGTATTTTACGTAATTTCTGGCAGCATTAAGTAAATTCTATATTGATTTGGAAGAAGGAAATCACGACTTCTGGAAGCATTAATTAAATTATATATATAGGTGTTACCGCAACTTCTGCAAGCAATTTTCTGCATGCACATTTCCGTGGCTCAGTCAAACGCTTTAAAATATTTCCATCAATGGCTAGGGCACATAGCCTTACTATTTATTTATTTCTTCCTTCCTTTGTTTGTTTGA